AATTTCCATAATTTCACAAACATTTTGCATCATTTTGCTAACTTTTTTATTGGAAGAAAACAATGCGTTATTTCACAAACAACAATGTGTCATTTCACTAACATTTGCATTCGTCTGCAAACTTTGAGGTGTTGTTATATTTTCTAGTTTTCGCCACTCATTGTTTACTTTAGTAACTGGCTAAACCTTAAACAAATTAGATTAACAATCATCAGCGATTGTAAGCTTGAAGTTAGCCTCGTTCTTATTTACCTAAATCCACGCCATACCATCAAAGAAATCTTGTTACTTGTTCCTTTTATAAGAATGCATTTCTTATATTTGTTAGACAGATGGGTTGTCAGACAAATATGCTATCAGATTGAGGGAGGTTATGTCGGAAAATTGGGCTATCATACTACTGTGAGAGATGGGCCATGTTTTATAAACATTTGTATCCTCGCGGAGCATATGTAGTTTTCAAGCTGCCTTCTTGTGTTTGTTCGTTACTAGGAAGGCTGTTCATTCGTATGTAACTTCTGTATCTGGATTCCGCAACATCTCATAAACAGTACTGCCACATATTTTAGACAAACCTTTGTCCTGTCTTTTTGGAGAACTAGGCAGTTTTGCGTCATGTATAAGGGTTTTTGAGTTCCATGTAAATTTTAAGATCAAAAGGCAACATGATTTGATTGTGAAGTTTCCATTTCTATGTAGCAACATTCCAGCAGCGCCTGCATACGGAGTATATGTCTCCCAGTTGATAAGATATTCCAGGGCTTGTATTTTCTATCATGATTTGCTGTTCACAAGGAAGCTATTAAACTAAGAGTTCCAAATGGTGAAGTTGAAATCATCCTTTCGTAAATTTTACGGACGCCATCACGATTTGGTTGACCGTTATAGTATATCCAGTTCACAGATGACAGCGGATATGTCCCAAAGGTCGTAACTCCAATCCCGTCCCCTTTTCCCCGATTATGAGCTACCGAATTAGACTTATTACCGGGTTTGTACTAACATGAGCAACACGACGGGTGCCCCATGTGGAGCAGGATCTGCTAGCCCTTCCGGAGCACCTGAGATCACCCCAAGTTTTTGGTTTAGTTTTCTATGTTTCGTTTTGTGTACTGTTGTTTGTCTGTTGGTCTTTTTCTTTTTTAGCCATGGCGTTGTCAGTTTATTTTCGACTTATTAGTTTGAATGTCCCGGCTTTGGTATCTTTCGCCTCTCTTTTGAGATATTTGTGAGCTGGTGAAACATTCCAAAGGAAAATTAACAAAAGGAAAGGAAAACTTGAATTAAGCGTACCACTTCTCATAAAAATCGCATTGTTATTTATTTTAGAATATATGTAAGAACGAATTAATGATAAATTTCAATGAATATTTTATGCATTTATGATGAATTTTCCGGCCTCTAATAAATGCAAGTTATCACATCAGTTCTACGTGCAGTCACAAGTCATCCAGCTATTGCACTTGTTTTTGTATTATTACATTCACATGTTATACCCCCAGTAAACTTTGCCGAAATCGCGCTATAAAGTCTGAAAGTAGCAACAACACAACTATTTTTACAATTAATTGTCCTGTATTTTGGAATTTATTATAAATCATGGGAGGGGAAACAAACGTGTCTTACAGACACAACCATCTCTAGCCACTCTATTCGTGATAGTTTGGTTGGGGGTTTCTCCAAATTTTTAGGGGCCTCTGTGGTCGAGTGGTCTAATTAATTCATTGGCAGTTACCCCTAGCCTGTCAACGCTGAGGTTGTGAGTTCGAGTGCAGGTGTGATCGACTTCAATCTTAATCGACGAGGATTGCCAGTTTACTTGCTTAAGGTCTGTGTTTCAAGTCTCATGGCACTCCGATTTCCTCCACAAATTAAAACTACATAAATCAGGCAGTTAGTTTTCTCGTTTGAATTGTTTTACATTTGTCATTTCGGGGCCTTTTATAGCTGACTATGCGGTATGGGTTTTATTCATTGTTGAAGGCCATACGGTGACCTATAGTTGTGAATTTCTGTGTCATTTTGTCCCTTGTGGAGAGTTGTCTCATTGGCAATCAAACCACATCTTCTTATTTTTATAAAGTGGCATTAAACGCCATCAATCAACCAATTAATCAATCTTTAATTCATTTAGGTCATTTTTTTCTTTTCATTTTGTCCGTTAGTCTCTATTTTTTGTATGTTTAATAGCATCGCCGCGATAGGTTGATACTGCGTAAATCAAACACCAATCGCTTGTGTTTTAGCACCCCATTATTAAAGATGTTCTTTATATTTTAGCACCCAAGTTTTTCTATTCTTTATATTTTAGTACCCCGTTAATCTCTGTTCTTTAAGTTTTAGCACACCATTATTCTCTATTTTTATCCTTTTATTTTCTATTCTTTTTTCCGTTCTGTAGTCTTTGTCCCTTATTCTCTACTATATGAACACCCCATCCAGAACTTCATTCATGCATATGGCAGGGGAGGCATAGGTTAAAACGAGAAGACAAAAACTGTATATTAGATCTTTTTGTGAAAAATACATTTGTGGATGTATTTGTTATAAACAATGGTTGTGGAAATACACATCTTGTCTATAATAAAACGGGAATGAATGATTAATTTAAGCAATCCCATACTTCAAATTGTCTCTGAAAACGTAAACTTCTGTGAAAAGGGAGGCAAATCAAATTTACTCTTAGGTGCCATATCGCAGATGAGTGATCTAGACCTTACTGAAATATTCTTGCCATCCCTCCTCAGAAGAAAAAATTGAAATTACTTTTACCTATTTTGGTCCAATATCAAAAATCTGAATACACGGTTAGATTCAGCATATCAAAGTACACCAAGAATTTAATTAATTTATTTATTAATGGACAATTTTAGTTAAGTTTTTAAAGGGGTTCGCTTCATAAATATATATATGTACAAATTTTTGCACCTCCTGTTTGCGGTATACCATCTTTTCCGCAAGTTTATTGTTTTCTGTTTGGTATTAAATTAATAATAAAGATCCATTTTGTTACATCTTGTGATCCGTTTATTTGGCAATCGCCAATGGCAGTCAACAGGGTTTAAGAACATTCGTTGTTCGACCTGTTAGTCAAATGATTTTTGTTTAAATATACTTTTTCACTTTTTTGGTCTTTTGGAAAATGTTGTTTGTGCTGTATTTAGACCCCTCTACAAAGAAATTTGTTTTGCATGCACACGTATAAAAATTGCGGTTTTTATCCAACGGAATCATATATATATAGGTTTGAACGTTGTTTTCAATTTAGACTTACTTATATATATATATATTTATATAGCACTCTGAAAATGAACTTATACAGAATAACATACAAACCTACCACGAAGTTCTTAAAAAAATGTACAAAAAAAAAAATGGTTTGTTCTCTCCAAAATTAATATCATTCATCATTATTAATACAATGTCTTTAAAACAAATATCTATAAAACTTACCTCTAATTAGTTTTCAAAATATCTAATAATGAACAGTAAATTTCAAACTATATTTATAAATAATTTCTTCTCCGAAATTAGATTTGATACTGTATGTATTTTTAGCTATAACTCTACTTACAATTTCTATTAACTGTGCAATACAGCTCTGAATTTGGATTATGATTAAATATTTGACATAGCATAGTTTCTGACACAGAATGAATGTGGTCTAAGAACTTAAAAATTGGAAATTGGACATTTACTTATTATGGACCAATATCCAAAACATATAAATACATGGTTAGAATCAGCATATTAAGGAACCCCAAGAATTCAATTTATGATGAAATCAAACAAAGTTTAATTTTGGACACTTTGGACCTCAAAAGGCTCAATATGGACCAATTTGATAACGGGGCCCATAATCCAATTTCTAAATACACGGTTAGATTCAGCATACCAAAGAATCCCAGATTTTGTTGAAATCAAATAAAGTTTAATTTTGGACCCCGATATGGAGAAATTAAAAAAACGGAGACCAAAATCCAAAATATAAATACACGGTTAGTTTCAAAATATTAAAGAACCCCAAGAATTCAAGACTTTGAATTAATCCACATTAAAATTGGTCAAGAAATAGCAATTCAAACAAAGTATTAGAAAAGTAAATATTGTTTTGGCCCCTTTTCCTAAACGGTTAGGGCACAACCTTCCTCTTTTGGTATGGAACCTTGTGGTACACTTTCACAGAGATCCATAGTCGACTCATACTCAAGTTATTGTCTGAAAACCAAGAAATTCCTAGTTTTTTTCCCCTTTTCCTAAACGGTTTGGGCCAATACCCCCAAAATCAATCCAAACCTTCCTTTTGAGGAATGGAACCTTGTGGTACAATTTTAAAAATCAGTTTGTAATAGAGATCCACACACTTGCGGTCATATAAAAACCTGGTCCAAATAATTATGTCGTCTTGAAAGGCTATTTTATTTTTTTGCGTTGACGCCTTACAGCGACGTCAAATTACAGCTGTAAGGCTTCAAAGCAAAAAATTATAATTGCCTTTCAAGACGTCTTAACTATTTGGACTAATAAAAACCATGGCCGAACTGGCAATATATGCCGGAAACGACTGCAGATGACCGAATAAGCTGGTTCTCGACTGACTACTACACTCTGTTCTGTTGAGTGTAGCGTAAATACAAGCAGATTCCAGTTTAATGACCGAAAAGTCTAGCATCGAAAGTATTTATGCATGTTCAGACCTGTTGTGCATGCGTTAACAAAAATTAGTAGACTGGTTTTCTACCTTGCAACATACGGGTATTAGAGCCAAACAAATAAAGGACAGGGAACCAGTCTACAAAAATTAGAAGTCGTACCATAGATTAGAAATTTCGTATTAAAATCGTCTAAAAATAAGTTAATATTTCTGATACCAATAATGATTATCTTGATGTGTAGATATATGATACAAATTTAAATTATTATGATAATACAGATGTAAAAAATTTATATCACTATTTTACGACTTAGAAATAAGCCAATCAATTTAGGTCTTTCTTAAAGTTCTTGGAGACAATTTGTTGTCAATATGGCCGCGTTCTCACGTTCCTGATTACTTTTTTGAAAGGTGGATACATGTAATGGTATTCCTGTGTAAGAAATTTGCTTATAACTTTCGATAGACTGTCTGATAATTCACTATTTCTGTGATAGATAAACTATGTGCAGTATTTTTTTAAAACTAGAATATGAAATACTTAATACTCCTTTTCGTACGTGTTGGTGCAGCTCATTCGTCACATTATGCTTATCACTGGGTCCATAGATATTTATCTAAATTCGCCCCAAAACAATGAAAGTGACCCTATAAACATGCATAACATAGTTTAGTCATTATAATGTGTTTGAAATTGATTTGTGACAATAATTCTTCAGAACATTGTTTATAATATATTAATATGAGTTAATCCGGGTCCGTTCACCCAAAATTATGTTTGCTCCCATTCACGTTCGCACCCTTTTTAAAGGTTATGTTTTGAATAATTTTTTAATTGTGCTTTAGTAAGTTTTGAACATACATGTATTGCTATAAGATAAAGATAATAAATTTTTTTATTGTTTAAAAATAAAGTGACATTCTAAAAACGTAAACCGGTTTTGATTTTGTGAATTTTTTTGACGAAATGAATAATGAATATTGTCATGATGATCAAAGGCCTAGTCAGTTGTCTCGAAAACATGTAAAGATCTGTAAAAGAAAGGAGGAAGATACCAATTGGCTTTCAAACTAGTCACAATGACATTGCTATGACAACAATGAATAAAACAAAACCGGGCTACAAAACACAATGAAGGTCCCACCATCCAGACCATCTATCATGTTTGACCTTGTTGTATATCATTCTTGTCCAAACACACATGAGATCAAAGGGCACAAGCTGTTAAAAACAATTATCTTTCGTGTTTTCTGGTCTTTTCTATTTAAATTCTTCATTGTTTTTACTCCTACCAAACTAGCTACTTTTGCATACATGTGACATAGTTGTCAAGTCACAACTGGAGATTTGAAAATTTTCAGCATGAGTTTGGGCCTCATAACTGGAGATTTTTTATCGACATATTTATCACAGTTTTCAGTGTTCATCATGTTCATTTTGATGATAAAGCTACATATTTCTCCTTTTTTTTAAGATAACAGTATTACTATTAATGTATTCTCTCTGAATTGTTACCATGTGAAATGTTTGTCAACACTAAGCTGTACTGTTTGTATGTGAAGTTTTCCCTTTCCTCATCTTTGTCATCATTAGTGTGTTTCTCAGTTCCATCATCCAATAATTATTTATGTGTTCTAAAGTGTTTATTCATTTGTTGGAGCTACATGTATAGTTTATTAAGCCAGATTTAGGAAAAACTCTCACACTCTCGAGGGTGGATTTTAAACAAAGAAATGCTATCATCAGGAAAATTTTTTTTTTTCATATCAAAGAATTATTGAAATAAAATTGTTATAATTTATATCTTTTAACTACGAAAATACCAAATCAGCTTGCAATTTCTATCGATCACATACTGAAATCTGACTGATTGATCAGGTGTGTTTCCCAAGAAAATACATTTTGTTTGCTTATAAAATCTTATGTTAAATAAAGTCCAGACTCATTTTAAGATGTATGGAATTTATTTTGATTGTTTAACTGGCAGTATTCTTTGGTAATCAAAAACAACAAATTTGCGGGAAACAATAGGATGCTCCTTCCTATATTTTACTCAAAGTCCTGTGACAAGCGCGACCTGAAGAAATAAAGAGATTTCTGCGCAATTGCAGGAAACTGAAAAAAAAAAAGTTAACGATTTTGAGTTCATTAGTTCATGTTTATAGATTTGTTTTTTCTCTAATTTATTGATTTTCTTACTGAAATTGGGGACTTCATCCCCATATAAAGAAAAGTAAAATAACAAAAACACCAAACTCCAAGCAAAATTCAAAATGGAAATTCTCTTATAACAAATGGCAAAATCAAAAGCTCAAACGAATGGAAAACAACTGTCATATTCCTGACTTGGTACAGGCATTTCCTTATGTAGAAAATGGTGGATTAAACCTGGTTTTATAGCTAGCTTAACCTTTTGCTTGTATGACATACAAACAAATGTATGTGAAGTGCAATGAGACCATAAAAAACTGAACGAAAAAAAATGCCTAACAAAATAAAAAAATTTTCTTTTATCTTTCTGAAACACAAAATGCACTTCAGTTTTATATACATGTAACTAGTGGATACCAGGCCTTTTCCAACTGCACAGGTTAGTCTGTAATTTTTAAGACCATTTTTGTTTTTTTTTCTAAATCTATAACATATACATGTATATAAAACAACTTTAAATTTTTTTATTGCATTTTTTTAAATAACTGTCAAGATAACCAGATGTTATATAGTCTCTTTTAAGTGACTGACTTCATGGTGTTAACATGGTTAAGGAATATATCTGTTGTATGGTTAAATTAATATTTGATAAATCTTCATTGAACCATGTTCATGATGAACTAATTAATTGTGACTTTTTGTCCTATTACAATGTAGTAAATAAGTGACTTTCTGTCTTGTGACTATATCTTCATTTACCAAGTAATTGACCAGGTAGGGACTGGTTGTCGAGCCTGCAACTTTTGTCGCAAAAGCGAGACATAGCGATCCTAACTTCCGTCGTCGTCTTCTGCGGCGTCCACAAATATTCACTCTGTGGTCAAAGTTTTTGAAATTATAATTACTTTCTTAAACTATCCTGGATTTCTACCAAACGTGGACAGAAGCTTGTTTATGATCATAAGATAGTATCCAGAAGTAAATTTTGTAAAAAAAAAAATCCTGTTTTTCCGTATTTTACTTATAAATGGACTTAGTTTTTCTGCCTGTTAACATAACATTCACTCTGTGGTTAAAGTTTTTAAAATTTTAATAACTTTCTTAAACTATCCTGGATTTGTACCAAACTTGGACAGAAGCTTGTTTGTGATCAAAAGCTAGTATCTAGAAGGAAATTTGTAAAAATATATTTCCTGTTTTTCCGTATATTACATTGTACTTATAAATGGACTAAGTTTTTCTTCCAGTTAACATTACATACAGTCTGTAGTTTTTATACAACCGCAAAAAATTTTGGTGGTTGTATATTGGTATCACGTCGTCGTCATCGTCCAAAGACACTTGGTTTCCGGTCAATAACTTTAGTATTAGTAAATAGAAATCTATGAAATTTAAACACAAGGTTTATAACCACAAAAGGAAGGTTGGGATTGATTTAGGAATTAGGGGCCAAAAAAGGGGCCCAAATAAGCATTTTTGTCGAGCCTGCGACTTATGTCGCAGAAAGCTCGACATAGGGATAGTGATTTCCGCGGCGGCAGCTACGGCTACGGCGGCGGCATTAGCTTACTTCTTAAAAGCTTTATATTTTAGAAGGTTGAAGACCTGGATGCTTCATACTTTGTATATAGATGCCTCATGTTACGAAGTTTCTGTCAGTCACATGTCCAATGTCCTTGACCTCATTTTCATGGTTCAGTGACTACTTGAAAAAAAAGTTCAGATTTTTTGGAATGTTAAATTCTCTCTTATTATAAGTAATAGGATAACTATATTTAATATGTGCGTACCTTGCAAGGTCCTCATGCCCATCAGACAGTTTTCACTTGACCTCGACCTCATTTCATGGATCAGTGAACAAGGTTAAGTTTTCGTGGTCAAGTCCATAACTGAGATACTATAAGCAAAAAGGTCTACTATATTTGGTGTATGTAATGATAGTAAGGTGTACATGTCCAACTGGCAGGTGTCATCTGACCTTGACCTCATTTTCATGGTTCAGTGGTCATAGTTTAGTTTTTGTGTTTTGGTCTGTTTTTCTAATACTGTATGCAATAGGTCAACTGTATTTGGTGTATGGAAATATTTTACGATGTTCATGTCAGTCTGGCAAGTTTTATTTGAACTTGACCTCATTTTCACGGTTCATTGCTCAATGTTAAGTTTTTGTGTTTTGGTCTGTTTTTCTAATACTGTATGCAGTAGGTCAACTATATTTGGTGTATGGAAATATTTTACGATGTACATGTCAGTCTGGCATGTTTTATTTGACCATGACCTCATTTTCAAGGTCCATTGCTAAATGTTAAGTTTTATATGACCGCAAAAAATTTTTGCGGTCGTATATTGGTATGACGTTGGTGTCGTCATCGTCCGGTGTCGTCCGAAGACACATTGGTTTTCGCACAATAACTTTAGTTTTAGTGAATGGATCTCTATGAAATTTTACCACAAGGTTCAATACCACAAAAGGAAGGTTGGGATTGATTTTTAGGGTTATGGTACCAACAGTTAAGGAATTAGGGGCCATAAAGGGGCCAAAAATAAGCATTTTTGTAACTTCCAGACAATTACATGTTCTTGTGTGTTAGTGTATGGATCTCTCTGACATTGTACCACAAGGTTCCATATCACAAAGGGAATGCTGGGATTGATTTAAAGGGTAATTGCCTGAAAATTTTAGGAATTGGGGGCAAAAAAAGGGGCAAAAAACAAGCATTTTTCTAGTTTCATGACAATAACTTGTGTGTAAGTGTATGGATCTTTCTGAAATTGTACTACAAGGTTCCATATCACAAAGGGAAAGCTGGAATTGAGTTTGGGGGTAATTTCTTAAAACGTTTAGGAAAAAGGGGCCAAAAAGGGGCTAAAAATAAGCATTTTTCTAGTTTCCAGACAATAACTTGTGTTCAAGTGCATGGATCTCTCTGAAATTGTACTGCAAGGTACCATACCACAAAGGAAAGGCTGGGATTGATTTTGGGGGTAATTGCCTCAAAATATTAGGAATTGGGGGCCAAAAAGGGGCAAAAAAACAAGCATTTTTCTAGTTTCAGGACAATAACTTGTGTGTAAGTGTATGGATCTTTATGAAATTGTACTACAAGGATCCATATTACAAAGGGGAAGCTGGGTTTGAGTTTGGGGGTAATTGCCCTAAACATTTAGGAATTTGGGGCCAAAAAGGGGTAAAAAAACAAGCATTTTTACAGTTTCCAGACAATAACTTGTGTTCAAGTGTATGGATCTCTCAGAAATTGTACTGCAAGGTACCATACCACAAAG